CTTAACAGTCAAGTTCATTAATCATAATTTAAAATTATTAGATGAAAATCGAATAGTTTGATTAAACACAAGTAAAGTTAAACTTAACATAAATATTATAACATTTGAAAAATCATTTTATTATTTTTATTATTTTATATGAATAATAATATTTATTAAATACGTAACTGAAGATGGCGGCCGCGCACCGGGACGTACGTGCCGCCGGAAGCGATGCCGGCGAACGGCTGTCGCGCGTCCAGCACCGGATCGCCCGCGTACACGAACTGAGCGATGACGTCGTTGGCGCCGACGGTGCGCCTCAGCGATTTATCGAAAACGACGGTGACGGAGCCCGCGGACGGCCCGTCCGCAGGTCCGGTCAAGCACAGCGCGTGGTCCTCGCGCCTGGCCAACAGCTCGCACGGCACGTTGGCCGGGCCCACGGACACGGTGACCGTGCTGCCGGCGTCCATGAAGCGGCCGGCGATGCGCAACAGGGTGCCGCCGGAAACGGGACCGCACGCCGGGCTCAGGGCGGTCGGCTCGGGGTAGATGAACCGGAGGGTCTGATCGGACGTCAGCCGCAGCGGGCCGTACACGACGCGCACCGGGCCCGCGGCCAAGTCTTCCGGTTTCGGGGGCCCGACCGTGCACGTGATGGTCTCGCCGTTGACCGTCTTCGGATAGACGCAGTCGCGTCCGGCCACCGTCACGGTCGCCTTTCGCCCCTCGGCCAGCAACTCGTGGCTCTTGACGGTTATCACCAGCGTGGTGCCTCCCGACCACGGCGCCGTCAGCGGTTCCACCGACTCGATCGTCATGTCCGGGCCGCAAGCGTCCGCGGGCGGTTCGTATAATCCGTCCGCCGGCTGTTCCGCGGCAGGGGCGTCGTCGTCGTCGTAGTCGTCGTCGTTTCGCCCGCCGGACGTCCGGACGCCCTCGGCCGTGGTGTTCTGCCGGTCGTAGTACTCGAACAGGCCTGTGCACGCGTTACCCGCCGAACACCGTTTGTAGAAGAACGCGTTCCGTGCCGATTCCCAAGAGCACGCGACGCAGTCCTTGGCCCTGTAGTCGACTTTGCAGAAGTGCGTGTTGTACACTGTGAAGTAGTTGTTGACGCCGTCGTCGAACCGCAAGGGCACGCCGTCGAACTCGACGCTGTAGTGGTAGATCATCAGCCGCTGATTTCCGAACCCCAGGTGTTCGTTGCTTATGGCCGCGCAGTCGATCGTGTCCGCGTCCTCGTTCACCGTACCGTTGAACCTGACGCCTTTCAGCGTGCACGTGACGTTCGTCTTGGCCAGGTACTTGACGAAGCCGCTCACGTCGTTCGAAATCTTCACCCTGTACGTGAAGGGCAGCAGCGTTTTGTAGGCGAACGTGTCGATGGCGGTCAACCGCGGACAGTGGCCGCGGACGTTCACCATCAACAGTTCCGGTTTCTGCGTCATGTCCACGCACGTCTGCCGTTCCAGCGACCAGCTGCACAACGGCCTTTCGGCACACTTCGTGCACGTCCGCGATCTCGAGCAATTTACCGCGCCCTTGTCGTCATCGCGGCTGAACGAATCGACGTGTGATATACACGCAAACACCTGTAAAGACACCGCGTGTTCGTGACGTTTTTAAATATATTTCGTGATACTTAAAAAAATCCTATTTCAAATGAACCTATTATGTAGTTGATTGATGTAAACATTATTTATATAGTTTATAATTTGTTATGATAGGGTCGAAATTATATATTTGTATTACGATTTAAAATAGTTTGTGTAACGGAACACGAAACGTTTATACCTACTTCGGAAATCACGCATACCTGCAAACTTTAGTCATAACACCCGCGATGACAACATTTTTCGGATTTCTTTTATTATTTTATTATCTATAGATACTGGTATATTCAGTTCAAGAAAATTTAAAAAATTTAACAATGTTGATGATTCAGTATATAAAAATTGTAATTTTATAGTTTCTCAAAAGAAATATTTATTACAAATATACGTAAATAAAATATCAAGCTCGTTGAAATTAAATCTAAGTATAAAATAATAAAATAAAATTTTGAATTATAGTAACTATTAATTTATTTTCATTCTGAGTTGTAATATAATCTAAAATCAATTGGGCAAATAATTGAGTTATTATGTATGGAAGATGACGATGAACATAGTATGTACTGTGTAGGTATGTTATATAATTAAATATGTGTACCTACAGGATAACTGATAAGTTCTTTTTTTAAAAATTAATAAAAATTTTATTTTTATTAAAATTTCGATTTACAAAACATATATCAAATACCATGGTATTCTCTTATATCTCTACGATTTGATTTCTACATTTTAAATAATATATATTTAAAAATGTTAATAAAAATGTTGAAGAATAAAAAGTATTTAAAAATTTAAGAAAATCATTTTTAAATAAATGTCAAAATGAATTACAAAATATGTTTTCAGAAATTTTATCGAATAATTAGGACAATAGCTAATGAAATTCGTAAAAGGTTGATTCTTATTAATTTCACACATTAAAAAGAAAATAAGTATTTGTGTGGCGCGTTATTGATACATTGTGTGTGCACGTGCAGGACGTCATATCTACACTCTACACACTATAACTATGCACATGTTTAGTATTAAATTTACACAATCCGCACAAACATTAAGAATTGCCTATATTGAATCTCGATAAAGGAAAATTGACTTATGAAAAAGGTATGATAACTGTAAATATTTTTACGTACCAGTGTAACTGCAATTAGAATATAAATAGGAGTAGATGAATGCTCCCAAAACTGTTTTCTTGACCTTGTCGAGTCAGCCATATTGCTTGAGATTGTACTATTCTCTGAAAAAAAATCAGTTTATTGTTATGCATATTCGTATAATCGAGTAAATATTTTTTTTGAAATTTATTAAATAGTACTTTAAGTATTTATTTACTATGATAAATAAATAGATAATTATTTGTGAAAATACATTTTATTGTTTTTTTTTTTTTTTTAAAGATTAAAAATTTTTATTAATTTTATAAATTAAAATCTATAATACATTTGCATAATTTTCAATAATAATATGAATTTCTTAAAGATGATTAAATATAAATTTAAGTAAAAAAAATTATTATTTTAAATTATAAGTGTCTTGTATTTATCATGATACATTTTAAAATTATTTTTAATAATAAAAGTAGCATATTATTTAAAACTTTAAGTAATCTATAGCTGTACAAATCAAACAATAATATTATTCATTTTTTTAAAAAAGATTAAATTATACAGCTTAATTTAAACCAAGCATATATTATATTTAAATTGTAATAAATAGAAAAAAAACAACTGAAAATAAAATACTTAACAAATACACATGCTAATGTTATTTAGATCAATAATAATACAAATAACAAAAATTAAGAATTATTAAAACTCATATTTAATATTGTTAAAATTCGAAATAGTTTTTCTGTCTAAGTTTTTCTAATGGTTGAAAATAATTAAAAATATTATCGAAATTCATACATCATATATTATTATTATTATGTTGATAATGATTACGTTATTAAATACTGCACAGCAAATACAATGTATGTCATTAAATATTACATTTCAACAGTATAGTTATATTTTTCTAAATTAAAATAACTATAGCTAAATACCATGTCAAAGATTATCGTAAATAATAAAAATCACTATCAAAAGAATAATATAATTTGTAGTTAAATTAAATGAAGTAAAAAAAAATTTTAATATCAAATGATATTAATGATTTTATTTAACTGGATGATAATTAATCATATTTAGTTTTCTAAATTATAATTTTGCTTTGACGAAGAAAATTATTATGCTACAAAACGCCAAATAGTATATCAATTATACGATACTAGAGTATGATTATGAACATTTTTTAGATTTAATATTTTCTTGTACTTAATGTAAATGATTCTGTCTTTCAGGAGTGAAGTAAATTACATATTATTAAGCACAATTATTTTATAACATTTTATTAAATAAAAAAGTTGGACATGATACAAGATTGGGTGTAAATCAATATATTACATTGTTTCATTTCGATAGGTAGTCTAGATATAGATTAGTCATTATTTAGTGTGTTGACGTGTTGTGATATTTGATTCGAAAACAGTAGAAAATCGTCACAATTATAAAATAATTCTTAGTGATGCTCGAGTATAATTATGGTTGATAATATAACTTTCAAAAACCACTTAATCACTTCCTTGTACTTATTTAAAAATGTTCTACATTATTATATTACCAAACTTATCTTTATACGGTTATAAACTACAAAGAAAGTCAAAAAAACCAATTTAAAATACCATCTAAATTACATTCTTTCTTTAAGAAAAAGTAATCATAGAGAGTATATATTTTTTATGTATATGATCATACGAACAACAATGATAATAAAACCGTAGCTCAGAATCTAAAAATGTGGATACTATAACTTTGTCAATTTTTATATCTGTATTATGCTATTTAATTAAAAATTAATATATTTAATATATTTAAAAAGAAAAGTACAAACATTTTGTTATAACTACTTTCAAATGATCTAAAAATATTTCAATTATAAAATACTAATAACTATTTTCTAAAAAATATTATTATACCAAATTTGTTATAAATGGTATCTCGTCATTTTGTCGCGGTCATTTGGACGCACGACAATATTGAACGCGTACGACATTTCATTCCGTCTAATTTCGACGCATGCTACATTTGGGTCGCGTCATTTAGTCGCATATACTAACCATATTATATATACATACTTTGAATAATAATAACAATAATAATAATTTTACACATCAGTTATTTGATTTTATTATTATTTATAAAAGGTAAAATTAAATTCGATTAAATTAATAATAGTAATCTGAATAAATATTAAAAAAAAAAAAAACAAAAAAATAAAATATTATAATTATTATACATTGAAATAATATATATGCGACAAAATGACCTATAACCTTGATAAATATCCAAAGTAAATTATAGTTATTAATTACCTACATTTAAAAGTAGGTATATTAATTAGTAAAATTGTAATGAAATTAAAACTCATGCAGAGGTATAATTTCAGTTTTAAATTATTGACTATGGCAAGTGGCAACCACCAAGTGTTTTGCAGACTAGAATTTTTTCCTATGCTAATTAACTTACGTATAGGTATGTGTTCAGATGAAACCCAAATCCCAATTTGTTATATTTTTTATTAATAGATTGTATTTGATTTTAGTATTACAACGTCTTGGAATTCATTTGTCTCAAATAGAACCATTCGTACATTTTCCATACTCACACTTCGCACGTAGATACAATGAAGGTTTATACATATAGTGTATACTATACACTGTATAGTATAGTTGAGAGTTTGTAAATGATAAAGTAAATAATACTTAACGTAGTATTGGTGAGTTAATATCAACAACTATTCAACACGTCAGTCGGCTATCGTTAATTTTTATAATAAATTAGTAATTACAAATTTAGTTGTTTGACATATTATTACTTCTCTTCAAAAATAAGATTTTTTTTATATTTTATAATGTGTCGACTTGAGATTTAACTTAATACTATAATATCGGAGCAAATTTACGAGTTTCCTTTCCTACAAATAATGCTACTGAACCCATTCATGTCTCAAGAGCACATACAAATAATATGAACATTGTAATACACTGATAAATCGATTACATTATAATATGTATAATGTATATAATAATATATAAAATATAATTTGAAATATCTTTGCAATAATACCATTTAATTTTAAGAATGTTGTAAATGAGTACATATTAGTATAGTACTGCACTACTGTAGGTATACTTATTCAACTAAGTATGTTTTAGTAATTTCGGGTTACTTTAAAAATAAACAAATATCTACATGACGAAATTAAAAATGAATAAATTTAGCAAGATTATTTAGAATTTTGATATGACATCGATGGAAGTTAATAGTTGTTAATTGTAACTCATAGAGAGCATACTGATATTTTGAATCGAACGATTAGTTAGAATAATTTTTTGAAAGTATTATCTAAAAATGTGAAACGATATAGGTATAAGAATAAAACTTTTTACTAATTCTTAATATTTTATATTTACATTATGAACTATAGACTATCTGACTCAAACGCTCACACACACACACACACATATATATATATATATATAATTGAGTTAAGCATAAAATATACAAACTAAAAAGAGAAAATTATTGAAAATTAATTAGTATTTTATTTTAAATAAAGATATTTTGAAAAGACTTAAAATACATTAAGCCAGTTTTTTTTTTTAAGTATTAATAATTATAAACGTGTCTAGGCCTTTATCGCTATAAACAAGTAATGTTAGAAATTTGGTACTATTATTAGTCATTATGAAAAGAGAAACGATTTATAATACATTATAATACAATAAAAAATTTATTCCTTCACTCAAACTGCCATTAATAAAATGTCGTGTAGGTATATCATGTATATAAATAATGTTTTTTTTTTATGATTGGTTGATAATTATTTAGTTTTTTTCTTGTTTATAGGTATTAAATATATTGATAATGACAAATTATTTAATATTTAATACTTGCTCATACATATCTCCCACTCAATAAGTTACTTATAAAATAAGTAGTAGAATGATTATTATCATCTATAACCTTATTTTTCCTAAGAAATAGCTTTAATCGTTGTTTGTGATAGTGTAAATCTTAGACTAAGATATAATAGGCTGGTATCGAAACCTTATTAGTGGATCTAAAATATGCATACGAGAAACCAATCAACGTCATCTAAAAATTATTTTCAAACCATTAAAATTATTTTTAAAAAAATTAAGCAAAATGTATTATATTATAAAATGTTTGTTTGTACATAGATATAAATTATTAAAATGACTAAAAACATAAGTACACAAGGACACAAAGTTGAAAGACCATTTCATAAAAGACCGTTTGAATTATTCCGCTCTACTCTCTCACCAAATTCATACCAGTCCGTTACATCTTAGTTTTTGGTATTACATAATAAAGATGTAATTATTAATAAATAAGAAATAATACATACTACACTATAATAATATAATATTAATTTAGATAAATATTTATTATGAATAAGTAATTATTTATTATCAGATACTGTTAAAATTAGTGTGGGCCTGTAGTGGCGGCCATCTAATCTCACATGTACGTGCACACGACTAGTTAATAAAATAAAATATTTGCACTGTGTATATAATGTATACGAATAAAATTAACGATATTTATAATAAAATTATAAACTTATAGTATGTGAATTATACAGGTATTTGAATTAATTTTAAAATACCTACTAAAACATTAACTATTGTATACTAATCACAATTTAATATTATGATAGTGTATAATTATTATGATTACATTTTTATTTTATATGCAATAAAATAATACTAATAAACAAACAACTATAAATAAATAAATAAATAAATAAATAAATAAACTTATACGTAAGATAATCTTAAAATTCTTAAAATTATCTTCTAGCTATATTATACAAATGAAGATCAAAATTAAAATATTCTACCTTCTTCGATTACTGGGTTTTTACGATTATATAACTTATATAGTGTGTACCTAACTACCTACTTATTATATTTTAGACATTTAAAGCGACTATAGGTAAGATGTATAAAAATTATTATCTTGACAAAGCGCTAAATTAATTTAAAAAAATAAAAATTGCATTTCTTATAATATTTTAAATACCACACGGATTGAAATTTTCAAATTGATTTCTTCTCAACTCACAGCTGCCGTTAAATTCAATAAGAAACATGATCTTTTATTTTTTTAATTCAAATTTTTTTCATATGAGTAATTAATAATTCCATTGTGTTCAAAGTGGTATTAATTAAATCATTAACCATGAGGATAAATTACAAATTACAATATAAAAACAACAAAAATTTGGAAACATGTACCTATCGGCTATCACGATTTGCAGAGGATTATGGCGACGTCGATAATCGAGGAAATCGAACAGCGAGACGCGTCTCATAGCGTACATAGTAAACCCCTCTCACATTAAAATTCCCTCTGTACCTGCGTGCCCGGCATTGCAACGTTTCTTTGGTATAATACCTACCCTAACATTTGTAATGATCTGTATCGCCAGCTCATATGCACAGCCGTATCGCGCGCAACTAATTTTATTTATTTTATATAATTCTATATCTATTCAACGAATAACCGATTTTAACAAATGTTAAAACGTACATCATATTTATAATATAAATGACGTTCTAATATGTAAATATTTAATGAAACAAAATTATTTGTCGTGTGTTCTAATTTCCAAGTGGAGAGACATTGTCGCATTGTCTCTTATGACGCTTCGTCAATGGAGATGTGTATATTTATTTAGAATATTTTAATTAACCCCCTCCTTTTCAGATTTACCAAGAGCCACTACTCTTAGAAATTCTGTGTACCTATATTAATAAATTCTATTTTTAATTTAATTTAAAAAATATATAAGATATATTTTCATTGTCTATTGAAAGCTTGTTAACTTTAAAAAAAAATAATTATGATTTACGGAACACATTGACATGACTTTGACGTGTTAATTGATCATAATTTAAAACAAAAAATGAAAATTTGGAAGAATTAAGACAAGATAGTATAAAAGTTACTGAAGAACAACCTTCCATAAGAATTTTTTTTTATTAATATACCTACAATTATAATCTAATTTTTGTGAATATAAAATTAAGCAATATTTATCACTGAATAATTGATTTTTTCATTTATTTTAAAATTACATGCGTTTTGAGATGATGAATATTAGATGATTATAATTGCCTAGTTATTATATTTGCTAAAATATATTTTAATCTTAAAGTGTTTATAATGTTATAAGCAATAAAATAATATATTATTGTGTAATTTTATAGAATAATTTCATATTTAGAGTTTAAATGTGTATAAAAAAAGACAAAATGTTGGTTATTTTTTTTACTTACCTTTTGTGGTGTTTTTATTTCATCTAACGATAGTAGCAAATCTGTATGTTGACTTCTTTATTACACGTTATAAAAACCAAAATATACGAGGGTTAATAATAAAGTATTAATTTTTATAAATAAAAATTAAACATAGTAAGATATTTTTCTATAGCAAAAAATGAAACATTTATACTAAGAATAACACTCAAGGTGTGTATACTTCATACCTCGACACTCGAATGACCACACTCGTCGGTATCAAGCGAGCACCAAGACGATTTAAGGCGCCCAGACACAATTAGATGTCCAGACGGGGAGAGTTATCAATAAGCCATTATATTCGAATATTGAAGGATAAAATCGTGTTTTTAGCTACTTTAGTTGGCGACACTCAAATATACATTAAGAAGAGACACAATGTGGACGGACACAATAAGAATGTATAACGTTTTGAAAATCCAAATACTCATAAATCGACTTGATACTATAAAACTATTCGGATTGGTCGTTTTTAAACATAATGCGTTGGTATGCGCATATCATTCGTACATTGTACCTTGTTATTTCATAAAAGGTATTGTACCTGCCCGGGTAGAAGTAGGTATACACTAATACGTGTCAGGGTGTATTAAAACCCAAAGATGGCGATCGACTTATTCATTTTCAATACAATAATAACAATAATAGTTCTGTTTAAGGATCACGTGCATTTCGAAACGGCATTGTGTGCGCAGGTAAGGTGTACTTGGGACGATCACAAAAGGTTTACAAAAATGATTCAAAAAAAAAAAAAAAAAAAAAATGCAGGAAATTCTTTGAATTAAACGATGTATTGATATAGGCATCGAATAATAGTAATTATTATCATATAGTGTATATTATATATTTATATAAAACTCCGAAACGAACGGAACGTCCGAAACCGATTAATGGACAATGCATACGCGCAAAGGGCCATCGTCACGGGGTAGGAGACGCGTATGTACGACGCGCATCAACGGTACACATATTATCGTTTGACCAACTGTGCAAATCAAAAATAATATTCGTCGTCAAGTTTGTCGTACTGTAGCAGCGTCGCGACGATCAGTTGATGCGGTATCCGACCGACGACGCGACGGAGGTGTGGTCGGTGGTGATGGTGGTGTTGGAGTTGTTGCACGCCGCCGCCGCCGCCGCCGCCGCCGTGGCGCCTGCCCTGTGTTTGGCCTTGGTCCGGTACACGGCTATGCACGCGATGGCGATGGCGATCAGACAAACGATCTTGACGCCGGTCACGACGTTTTCGGGAGGACCGCTGTTCCGGCCGCGGTTCCGGCCGTCCGCCTTCCGCTTGACCACGTAGGCGAACGTGTCGCCGATGGTGACGATCACGCCGGGCACCGCGTCCAGGTCGGCCGCGGACGGGTTGGACGGCACGCACACGATCCGCCGGTGGTCCGTGAACGTGACGTCGCACCCGCCGCCGGAACCCCGGAACCGGACGGTCAGGTCGTCTTGCCACCGGTAACCGCGGTCCAGGTCGCGGCCGTTGATCGTCACGGTGCGGCCGTCCGTCACGAAATCCACCAGCACCGGATCGGGGTGCAAACTGTAACCGTGCGGGTCCCGCGGCGGCGACAGGTCCATCTCGTGGTACTCCGGGTCCTGCACCCGGAGCCCGTACTTGAGCGACGCGGCCGAGTCCACGTGGCCGTACGGCAGCTTCGGCGCCCGGCACACGGCCAGCGTGTCGTTGACCAACCGGCAGCTGGTGTAGTGCAACCGCTCGCCGTGGTGCACGTACAGCATGGCGTACCGCAGGCACGAGAAGTGCCGGCCGCGCAGCTGGACCGCCGTGCCGCCGGAAGCGATGCCCTGGAGCGACTGTCCGGCGTCCAGGGCGGGCACGGCCGCGTACGTGAACACCACCGACCCGTCGCCCACGTACTTGCTCAGCTGGCCGTCGAACACCACGTTGATCCGGGCCGCCGTGGGCCCGGCCACCACGGCCGGCCCGGTCACGCACAGCAACAGGTCCGGGTACAGGGCCACCGGTTCGCAGTTGGCGTAGTCGCCGACGGACACGCGCAACGTGGTGCCGGCGTCCAGGTACCGGCCGGCGATGCGCAACATGGTGCCGCCGGTTGCGGGCCCGCACCTGGGGCTCATGTCCGCGATCACTGGGTCCACCAGCCCGACGACCAGCGCCGACGTGACGGTCACCTTGGGCTGGTCGCCGGTGTACTGCACCCGGACGGGGCCCTCGTGGTTCCGGCGCCGGTCGGTGACGGCCGCCGGCATCATGGTGCACGAGATGCCCGTCACCCGCTTGTCGTCCTGCATCGGCCACATTTTCGGTTCCGTGCACTCGCGCCCGGCCACCGTCACCGACACTTCCTTGCCCTCGGCCATCACCCGGTGGTTGACCACCGTGAACCGCACCGTCGTGCCGCCCAGCCACGGCGCCGTCATCGGGTCCACCGACAGGATCTCGGCTTCCGGACACTCCAGGCGCACCCCTCCGTCCGCGTCGCCGGCGGCCATCACCGCGGTGTAGTTGTTCGCGTGCCACCTGGCGTAATACTCGTATTGGCCCACGCACCGGTTCCTCACCGAACACCGTTTGTAGTAGTTCTTGTACCCGTACTCGTTCCACGCGCACGTCACGCACTCGTCGTCCCTGGACGTGCTGTCGCACTCGTGGTCGTAGTACACGAAGTAGTTGTCGGACTCGTTGTTGTACCTGAGTATGATGCCGTCGTCGATCGTGATGTAATAGTGGTAGATCATCAGCGCCTTGAACCGCTTGTTCCTCTGCGCGGCCAGCCTTTTCGTGTCGCATTTTATCTCGTCGTTCAGCACGTACCCCGGGAGTTTCTCTTCGTCCAGGTGACACGTGATCGTCCGGTCCTGCAGGAATTTCACGAAGTTGTTCTGGTCGTTGGACACCACCACCGTGTACGAGAACAGCTCGTCCCTCAACACGGATTTCTTGGGCACCGAGAACTGCGGACAGTGCGCTTCGATGTTCACCGTCAGGTTTCCCAAAGTCGGCGGCGTCACCAGACATTTCTGGAGGTCCAACGACCAACTGCAAAAGACGTGTCTCGCACATTTCTGGCACGTTAGGAATTCCGCGCAAACCATCGCGTTCTTCTCCATTTTTGACGAATCGTTAGCGTGTGATACTGTTACAAATATCTGTTAAAAACAAAACGTACGTATTTAGTAAAATTTGAATTCCCTCATGAATATTAAAAATGATCATTACGAGAATGAGGAAAACAAAGAGACTATATTGCTGTGCAGTAGGTGTCGTGTGAACCTCGCCATTGATTAAGAGGTCACTGTAATGTAAACGTTACTATTATTCGAAATCAACGATAATAATCATTGCTGACGAAAGACAATATTCTGAGCGAAGACGGACTCAGCCTTTTTTTACGTTACTATATTAACGTAATTTATTTTATTAGTATTGCGACAAGTCGATTTCATTTTTACCGAAAATATTTTATTTATTTTACTTTGTTATTAATATTTAATTACCTATTATAATAATATTTTAATAATTAATAATTGTTTTAACTTCTGAGTCAATATTACTTGAGCGTAAAATGCCGTGCATATAAAAAATATTCGTGATTTATTAGTTGTAATAAATCTGTAAAAGCTTGAAATTAATCTAATCGTTATTGTATAATATATGAAACGTAGTAACATAAGTTAAAGTTACAAGTACCTACGAATAATATTTTTTATTACAACAAAATAAATTAAATTGTTTTTTTTTTTTTGGCTTAAAATTTAAATTTGATTCAAATTTGAACTCAAAATGTTCATAAAAAAGGTGATTATATATTTTATAATTTTTTTTGGTTTCATAATAGTATAATACTTGTGAGGAATCTTGTATTTAATTTACAAGTCTTAGCTAAAAAATATTGAACACTGTATTTTTAACTACATACGAATATGCAAATTTTCGTGACTTTTTTAAAAATGTGTTCTTTAAATTCTTATAAACAAAATTTGTGTTAATATATCTTTAATATTATCAAATAACTAACGAAAACTTATGAAGAATATTGTAATAAGTTTTTAAGATTTTTGATAGAACAACGATTTTTTTATCGACAATTTTTGAAAAAAATAATCTTATATCTTAAATATCTATAAATAGCTCATAAAAAGTTCAAAATATTTTGAAAACTTTATCATGTAGGTAGATAAAATGTTATTATAAACACTTGATGAAAATTTCTAATATCTAGAGTTATTCGTTTTTATATTACAGTAATATAAAAAAAAAAAATCAAATTTGTTGAAAACGGGTTTTTTTCTAATTTCCTGTTTTTTCTATGTTTATCCAACTTATTAAGAAAAGCGCTGTACATTTTTAACCATCAAAGTTGTAAACTAGATTCACTTTCCTGTCAGAAAATATATTAAAGCTGAAAATTTAAGCATTTTTTCTACTTCAAAAGATTATAACAAGCAGCAAAAAAACATATTGTTAAACCGATTCGTCATTATACTCATCCATAGTTTAGCTCAAAATCTAAAATATAGTAGGTATTTGAATAAAAAATGCATTTATATTTATAAGTTCGATAATTATTGATGTAATAACATAATTTACCTTTTAATCTTGATAATAATTTTTAAAGTAAAAGAAAATTTAAAAAAAAAATATTACGGCAACAATAATAATAATAAATATCACCTATACAAATTAATATAAGAGTATGACAATTTTTGATTTTGATAACTGAAGAAAATTGACAGTGAAAAATAACGGTTTAAGTTAGTTTTGTTCTTTTTTTTAAGGTAAATACATATTATTTTACTGATAAAAGACTACAAACATAAAATAAACAATCTCCTCCCCCAATTCCTCGTAAAACAAAAACTTACAAGATGCTTATCATCTGAATTTTGTAAAACTCTATGATCTGTTTATTGTACAATATAATATGTATAATATAAGTAATAAGAATGTTGTACTAACTCCCGATAAAAAAGATTTCTGGAACACGATATTATCCACACGACATTTAAATAAAAGTGAATGGATTAATACATTATGAATATTTAATTACAAATATAATATTAGGAAGTTATGATTTAATTAATATAATAAGTTCAATATTTTTCGAGTTCAAAAATTATCATAAATCAATTTTAAGGAATTATTACGTATTTAATGCTCAAAATAAATATTTATTACAATTTAATTTACTTTTATAATTATATTATTGTTTTCAAACATTAATAATAATCTTTGTTTTAAATTTTGATGAATACAATCTATAGTTTTTCATGTATAATTCTGTAAAAAAATGAAACTAATTTTGTTTTTTTTCTAAACTTACATAAATATATATAATTACCAGAAGTTATTTTTAAAAGTTTCAAAAAATAAATTAATACCTACTTATAATATAATTTTTTTAGTAAATTATGCAACATATAAGTTAATAAAATAGTTTATGATATTCGAATTGTTAATAATTAAAATTTTAATATATTATCAACAGAGCTCGTCAATAATATTTGGAGTACTCGCATTATTGTTAAAAACATAAACAATTTTTGTATAATTGATTTCTAAACTATTATATTTAATTTTTAATATTTTTTTTATTATTTATCGAAATATTTCATTTCAAGGATTTTTTTTTTTCAGAGAATTTTTATTCTGATAATCACACTAAAATAAGCCTTTTACATTAAAACTAGTAAATAATTGATGACATAGGTAAATAAATGCTTTAAAATTCGCAGCATATTCAAGAATAATATACAGTTTAGATTGAAAAAAGTAAAATAAATAATTTAATTAATAATTGTTTACAACAATATACAAACCTCAAGTATATTATATATATATGTGTGTATATGTATATATATTCAAAAATATACAATATTCTTTGGTAACGTAAAATTGTGGTACAACTTTTGGTAAAAATTATTTTTTTTTAAATAATATAAAATTGCATTAAATTCACGGCTTTGGTAATAAATAATTATTAAGTACCTATTTATTTTAATAATATTTATGTTAGTATTTCGTAAATGTGCTAATATATTAGTATTTATTTTATTTTTTTTTTAACTTCTTTTGTTAAAAAAATATTTCTATGCAAATGACAAACTATACGTTTGTAAATATACATACAGAATACTTTTTTATAACAATATAACTTAATTAATTTTAACTATATAATTGTATTATTTACATACCATTGCAATTAAAATTATATGAATAAAGGAATTTCCATAATATTTTCTTTGATGCCTTCGATCAACCATATTTTCTTAATTTTCTATGACTATAAAATAAAAAAAAATAATAATATTAAGTTATAATAACCCATTATAATTCATGAATTCTCATAAAGTGCTTATCTAAACGTTAAATATCATGATTCAAATGCTAATACGATTTCAACTTAATGAAATTCCCGATAATACACATAATTTCAATTTATTAGATTTAATATATTTAAAAACCACTTATAATTTATTTTATACAGTACAGGGACAGATAAATTATTTTTTAAATATCAAAGCTTATCAAAGTATAATTTTTAATTAAATTAAATGTCAGAAAATATTATAATCTCATTAACATTCGGCAGTGTTATGGTCATTTGGTTAAGAATGTAAGTTCACCACACCCAGATTTATGATCTCTGTCTGTCCAGTAGAATCGTATGAAGTATAAAAATACCTAGGGTTTACGAAGGTATTTTATCTATTAAAAAGTCATTTAAGTGTATAAAACATCCATTAAAATAACATATAGATTTTCGAGGTCTTGTTGGTTTTTTTTTGTATTAAATTGGTATATAGCACAGTTGAAATAAAAACTAGTTTTTATAAATTATTTGTAATCAAAATATCAATTAAATCAGTGAATTGTAGAAAACGAAATTTATATAGTTGATACTTTATATTTACAATTTATAAGCTTATAAATCGATTTTCTAGGCGCAAGGAAAATACTCCGAGAATAATTAAGAATATATTCTAAAATTTACATGTCATAAATTCATAGGTAGATGGTAGTATGTTTTACAAAAAGTCCGATTTCAGTTAATTCGTTTTAACTTATAAATTGTAATACAAAATAATTGTAATTACTTATCTTAGAGACTTGGAATATTTAGAAATTAAAATTATTATATTACTTAAATATCACTTGATAAATATAATAACGTGAAGTACATTTTGATAATGTTTACCATTATTGGATTAAGTATTGACTTTTAGGAATGTATCTTTATAAAGTCAACCGTAATAAAAATAACTATTATAATAATTTAATTTATAACTAAAAATTCTTAAAAATCTAAAGTTAAAATCATTGTTATTATGAGTTCATGATCAATAACGGGTAGTACATTTTGTCAAATAAAATAATTATATACGTATAACAAAAATAATTTTCAATTAAGTATTACATTTAAATTTTAAGGCCCGTGAATTGAATATACTCGTACATAGTTAACTATGAGGCTTTTATTTTAATTGATGAATAATTTTCAAGAATTATTTATTTATTTATTTTTTTGATTATTAAAAATTTTTAAATGGTGTACTAAACTCTGCTTAAAATTATTTCAAATTTAATTTAAGTTTATGTTAATATACAATTTATCGCACTAAAGTAAAATGGTTGTCCAAATATTAGTATCTGATCATGAATAGTTACATGATTTTTATTTAATTTTTTCTTAGAGTAAAATACTACGAGATGCTTTCAGAAATTTTATTTTCATTAATTTTCATATCCAAACCTATGGTAATTTTTCAACCATTTAAGACAGATTTACGTAATTTTATTTCGCTATGTTTCTGGTCTGAGAAACTCGTAGACTTATATTATTATGACGTTATTTTAAGATATTTTATAATTTATAACAGTCATACTTATGTTATAAAAAAGTTTTTAATTTTAAAGTCATTTTAAAAATGCTTAATAAAATTGTTCATAAAAATAATGATAAGAATTGATTTCTTATTTGTACTAATTTATTTTTAACTATTTAGTGGTTAAAAATTATACATAATCAATGAATTTTCCATGATTAATTTTATTTTTATTTTTAAACAACTGAAATTAAAATTTTTCAATTTGTGTCGCACGAATTAAAATATTCTCAAAAATGAATTGCTTTATTATTTAGTACAATGTGTATACATTTTGACTCATATATAAATAAAATAAAATTTATTAAATATACGGAAATATTAAACTAGCCTACTTTTTTTTTAAAATGCGTTCTAGATTGTATGATAAATAATCTCAGTTATTTTATATCTACGCTGTTATTATATTATTATTTATGTTTTTTTCCCAGATAAATATATTTTAATTTTTAATTTTTTAAAACTTTGAATTTTTTACTAAATGGGTTAGGTTTGTAGACGGCAATAGTTTATTATAATTAAATAAAAATATACGAGTAGGATGAATTCTATATTCTTGACATTGGTTTTTATTTACTATTTTTTAGACAACATTTTAAATTATATTATATATAATTATTTTACCTTCAATTTTATAATATACTGCTTTGTTCAGTTACTCCAGTATCATCGAAATTATTATTTATAAAAAATTAATAGAATATTATGCGTTTAGTTATTAAAGACATAGTTTTAAATTAATGCTATAAGAACATGATATACACTTATTCGATCATAATTAAATAATTTAAGATCAAAATATAAAAGACTGCTATGCTGACCACAAACTAAATTCAACTGTTTCACAAATAGGCTATAGATTATTATGTTATGTTATAAAATGTAATTATTTGGTCAATATATTATTTTTTATGTCATTATAGATTTACTTTATTTATCATCCAATTATTATAATTACAAATTTGATGATTCAAAAAGTAATTAAATTATATTTCTGTGATTAAAAAAAAGAAATAATATAATATAATTAATACTATAATTTTTATATGAAAACTGATAACTAGTTAGTGATAGTTTGTAAAGAGTTTTTTCCGTATTGTCTGTATTTAAACTGTAAGTGTATGAGTATATTATGCGTGAATCATATTGTAATTAATGAATATCAAAATTAGCATCCTTGTTGTGTAAATTGAAGTACTTGAATGACAATAACATTTTTAATATGTTATCTTAGAGTTAGTTTAGACCTATTAGCTATTGCTATCAAAAATTAAGAATGTGCGTCGGTTTTTGCCTAAAATTCTGATTATTTTTAATAAATATTCAAATTTTCAGAAATTTGACATTTTAATGTTTATAATCGAAAAGCTTAAACACTCTCGCTTATAATTTAGAAAATAATGTTTATTTCAAATAGTTTAGTAAATTAAATAAGTATAATTCCAAGAAGGAAATTATTGTAATTTTTTTAAATATTAATTTTACATTAAAACTACTATTATGGTCCCATAATAGGACGAACAATGCTATCCAACATATTTACATATCTGCACGTATTTCTTATGTAAATATAAGTGAGTGCATTATTCAAATTTTCGCTGAAAAAGCTATGTTTAAACGAACATCAAAGAAAATGTTGGGCAACACTGTCTTCAGCTTGAACATGTATAAATTTATAATTATAATTAATACATAAAACGTATTTAATAAATACTATTTATCAATGATTTGATAAGAATTTTTAAAACAAGGAATTATCATTTAAAAATAACTAGTTATTGATTATACTTATAGTTACTTTAAATTATATTTAAACATTTAATTTTGAATACTAAATAAAAAATTAAAATTGAAAATCATAATTTTGGATGTTAAAAAAAATTATATTAAAATAATATTATTCGGTAGGTTATTAGTTAATAACACGAGTAATGTAAATTGATTAACTTTGTTATAATTTATAACACTTAAAATACACAAAATAAATAAAACATTTTATGACTATAATAAATTGATTCTAAATAATAAATGGTGTATTATACGTTTAATGGTTTTTATTTTTTTTGTTATAATAATTGTGAAATAATTATAAAAATTCATATGAATCGTATTATCATTGATTGTAGTATATTTTATAGTGTGGTATTTACTAAACTATTAAAAACAAATAAATGCTTAACATATTTTAATACTGTTAATACTAGTAATTTTTAAAAGTAAGCAATGCAAGTGTTACAAAATATATTAAGTATTTTAAAACATATAGACCTATATTAGATATCAATATATTTTTTTTATCTTAAATTTTAATAACTTTGAGTTTTGAATATTATAATTTATTTAGTATTATTTAAAATGTACACATACAATTTAAAATTATACATTTTTTTACATATTATATAAGGTTCATGTATAGTCTTACTATTTAATTATATAATTAATACATTAAGTGATTATTATTCGTTATATATTACTTATTAATCAATAAGACAACTTAATTGGAATTTATAGTGTTGGTAATGTATGATGATGGGAACATTAGAAAACAGCTGAAAAGATTGAGATTTTAATCACTGTAATCAAATTTTTATTTATTTATTTGTTTTATTAAATAATTTTAATTTTAGTAACACATTCTATTAAAGAATTAAACATTTATCGTTGTCATTTGCCACCAGTGGCATTAATGTATTTCTTATTTTTACTCGAAAAAGTATTAATGCTGTGAAAATAAACTCTGAAATTGTAATTATTATTCTTTGTCACTCGATCATATTGAAACATACAATTTAATTGAAAAAAAAATTAGCAAATACACCTCCACACAATAAACCACACCACAATATAGGTATACTAATATACATAAAAATAAATCATATGAACGATAAATATTTAAGTTTCCAGCAAGGTTATTTTTCAATTAACGCCGTTTTTGAACATTTCATAATATACTGTCCATCAAGTAAGGAAAAATATTTAAAAAAAATTTGCACAAACAATGTTTATTCTAATGTGGGCATAATACCCAGTAGTGACATAGTGTGCGTGAGAACATGACAAGTTCAATTACATACCCGCTAATGGTTAATCCTCAAAGCGATGTTTGCAGTGTGGTGTTTTCTTTTTCAACTATAGTGCTTTCACTTTCACCGTTTGGTTGCTAAGTTCCTGAAAAGGCTATCAGGGTCGTATACGCTCACGGCAAATTAATTTTATTGAAAGCTTAGGTTTTACTACTGCTCAAATTTCGTTTAGAAATAAAACCTTTTTGTTTCAGTACTTAATCGAATCGATTATCACGAACAAGGCATAATAATAGTCAATAAACAAGTTTGGTTATTACTTTATTACGTACGTGATATTTATAAAATATTAATAAACACTAAGAATATTCATTAAGTACTTCATCGATGGTTTGAACTCTCGGAAGTTTATCGATATAAATTTGATTTGTAAAATATTTAGAAAAATGATAAATAATAATTTATATATATTTTAACTTAGTTTAATTTAAATTTCGATGATACACGATTTCAGACGGTTTTTATAAGAACGCGATTGCGAAGAGTTTCAAGATAACAACAGATTGCCAAAAACGACACGATAACGAACAAATTTTACCAAATTTATTAATAATATATCGATAATGTGAACATTTTTTGCTTATTAAATGTAAATTTAGAATATTGTGTAAGTAATTTAAATTAAATAAATTAGTAGACGAGACCTAAAATGTATGTAAAATTAAATATTGAAATTTTTTATTTATAAAATTACAACAATTTTTAATTTTAATCTATCAGAAATAAATTAATACAAATATTAAAAAATAATTAAATCACAATTTAATTTTAAACCAATATTAAATTATTTTAATAATTTATTTGAATTATAAAAGCAGTATAGAATTGTTGTAAAAATATTCATAAATAACTAAAAATAGAAAATTTAAATAATTTGAAAATATTATTTATTTTTCAGAAAACTCATTTATCCATAAAGCATTTGTCTCTATTTTATAACAATACTATTATAAAATTTTTATATTTAATCATATAATATTATATTTAGGTAGGTATATCCATTATTAATATTCTGAGACGTCGGCCGGATGATAGCCAATTGATAATCTGCATATGTTGTCTACGTCTTAAACACGTACGACATAGTAAATTTTTGTTCATTAGTTTCATTAGTGTGGCGTGTGCTTTTAGTTTTAATATTAGAGTGATTTGATCTATAATAAAACTTTTAGAGAAGAATATTATCTGTGTTTTCTCATTGGCTTTTTATGATATTTTAATTTTTAATTAAATTATAAGTATGAAAAATATAATTATTTAAAAATGCTCATAATTCACTTAAAAATTAAAATATCGTAAAAAACCAACGAGAGAACACATATTATGTTCTCATTTAAAACTTTGTTAATAAGTTAAATCTCTTTATAATATCAAAACTAAAAGCATACTATTGAAACTGATGAACGAAAATTTACCATGTCCGTACGTGTGTAAGACGGAGACGACACATGCGGGGCGATGTCCTCTTAATATTTAATTTAATAGTTATAAAGTAAAAAAAAAATATTTTTTTCAGTAAACATTAATAGAATACCTTATATTATACTATGATAATTTTTAATTTCTATACATTGTAGACATTTTTGAACTTATTACTCATATAATAACAAAAAAATAGACATAGTTTAACTCAAATTAATAATATATTATATTATATAAATTATAAAATAATTTCTTAATAAATTAGGCATTAGTCATCAGCTAAATGTTAAAATAAAAAAGTAATAAAAATAATAATCAATATAATATTATAAAAGTATAAAATACTAACAATAATACACATGAATCGTTATAAATTATTTTTTTTCAGATGTTGAGAACAATTTTAAATTTAAAGAAATACACAATTTAATTTAATTCATGAATTAATAAAATTGGTATAATCAGCGGGTTGAGTATAGGTACTGTGTCTCATTGTGATGGAATCGGTGAGATATCGATTTCCGATCACACTAAATGTTTAACAATAATATAATTAGGTATTTACTCGTATAAATAATAATTTAATCTATAACTTTCAAATATTTAAAAGAGAGTTTCTGCGTTGTGATTTCAACATAAAACTTTTATAAGGTTTAGAAGACGTACAAATTGTACATTATTTATAGTTGTGGAATCGTAAGCTCAGACAAAACAACAAAATGACAAACGATATCTCGTCTCACTTGAGTACCACATAGTTGTGGAAATGGAAAAGAAAAAAAATCAGTTTGTTTCAATAAATATTACGTATTTTGAATACATTTAGCATATTTTTTGAATTTTACGTTAACACCGATGACCGCGGTGGCTATACGCGATGAGCATGTCCCAATAATAATAATAATAATAATAATAATAATAATAAGTAATAAGTAATAAGTAATAACTAATAAGTAATAACTATGTTTTAAGCGGAAGCGATCCTTTTTATCATTTCGATTTGCCGCCGTGTTTCGGGCGGCGGCTCGCCGAGAACAACGGCGCTCTGTGTATGGGACCCTGGTCGCTCGGTAGTCAAAACGGCAACCAATGTATCACATAACCCGGTGTCCGTTTTGGTGTCAAACCCGAAAAAATGTCGAGTCCACCGGCAGTGGCCGCTCCCACAGTACTCGTCGTTCTCAACCGCCCAAAAATAGTTTCATCGCGCAAATCGCGTTCACCAAAAACGAGAACGGTCGCTGGCTCGCTGCGAACGCGGTTTACGCAGTAGAGCTGAACCGTTTTAGAAATGCAAAGCTTTTGC